TAGGGGGGGGTATAGGATGTAAGATGTGGGGTTAGCTTATGCTTGCTTTACCACCCCTGCCATTTGGCTGACAGTTGTGAGGAGAACTGCAGACAGCTATAGTCCCCCTTAATTACGTAGATAGAATTATAATAAGCTTCCCATACACCCCATATTCTATCTACTTAAGGGTGACTATAACCCCAATATGTGATATACCCTATTAGATCATAGTAGTTTCCATTTTCTTTTCCATTATCCCTATATAACCCCAACAATATACCCTACATTCGATCTACTTAAGGGGGACTATATCCCACTGCCGCGCCAGGTCGTCAGCTTCGAGGGAGCCGTCCCACGGCAGCAAGCGCGGGCCCCAAGCAGCTTTGAGGGATTTACATGCTTCGAGGGAGCCGTCCCACGGCAGCAAGCGCGGGCCCCAAGCAGCTTTGAGGGATTTACATTGTTCATTGTTCTTCTTGTTGTTCTTGTTGTTGTTGTTGTTGTGATGATGATTGCTATTATTTTCCTTTTTACTATTGTTGTTTTGATTCTTGTTAGTATTATTATTACTAGGAAGGTCATAAACCATGATGCAGCCACAGGCCAAACCTTTTGCAAGTGTCGACAGAGCCGCGCAGGATTCGCAATGCTGCACAAGGAGGACTCCAGACAGCGGCGGCAAGCGGAAAAGCAGCATGCCAAGCATGCCCAGTTCACAACATCGAACAAGGCTGAGCAGTTCTTGCTGCCGTGTGCATGTCCTGAACAGCTCAGGTGAGTACCAGAGACAAACTCTGAGCAACATGATGACAAGGACTTGGTACCAAGGAAGCCAACCAGGCCAGTTCCTCGGCTGTCCATTGTCAAAGATGCTTTCAAATGCTTGGTCTCTGAGGTCCAGGGCACTGTCCTGGCCAATCCACTGATCCCTCCTCAAAGGGACAGAACCTTGCTGGAGCTTCCAAGAACTGTGGATTGGGCTGAAAGGGCTGAGATAGCCTCATCCAGACGGAAGCCACATCCCCACAGCTCTTTGCGAAAGATGTTCAGATGGTGAAACTATTACTATATCTGCTATGCCACTAAATTACTCTATTACTACGCTACTAAATACTATAGTATTATGCGGCTAAAGTAATAAATTATATGGCTAAAGTAATAAATGGCTGTATTATTATATTACTGTCTTACTAAAGTACTATATTACTATGTTACTGAATTGCTTTATTACTATATCGCTAAATTCTTAAATAGCTATAGTACTATATTACTGTGTTACCAAACTACTATGTTACTAAATGAACATATTTGTATATCATTAATAGATTATTACTGTAATGTTATAATATTACTAGATTTACAGATGCTTCTCCATAGCTCTTGGGCGCTTCAAGGGTTGCAGAGGCTTCCTGCCATTATCCTGACAGACCAGGGATATCTTCAAGGTTTAGGGGCTAGGGCTTTAGGGTTTAGGGCGTTTTGCACGACCTCACATTCCTTATTGGCTTATAGGTGGTAACGGGGGATACCCAAAAATCAGGACACCCTATTGGGTACTAAATACCCATATTATGGTAGCAGAACTTATTATATGCCCATATTTCTGGTAACTTAATGTAAGTATGTATCCAAAAGTTTCTGGGCTGAGAAGGATAAGCAGGCAGGAATCCTGAACACTCGCCGCGTGCTGCGAGACGGACAACTTCGCCACCACGGAACAAAACAAGTGTTTAGGGTTTAGAGTTTGCTTCGTCAAGGATTCTGTGGAAAAGAAGATGGAAACTACTATAGTCTTGGGGTTCTAGAATCTTGGGATACTGAAAGAAAAGGGAATACAGTATAACAAGTAATTCCAACTTGAGCCCTCATGTGCCTACTGCTGCAGTGCTACGAAATACTGTAATTGAAATATACGATAGTACTTTCCATGTCCTTTCCATAGTTCCTATATAGCCCATTACACTATGGTAGTTTCCATTTCGTTTTCCATTATCCCTAAGAAACCCAATTAGTTTTCATTTTCTTTTTCCATAGTTGAAGCAGGGAGCAAGATAAGGCGGCAGTTGTGTCCTGTCTCACATATCAATCTAGAGATTCGTAAAGATTTTGTCTCTGATCTGCGCTGCACCATGGTTTCCAGGATGTGCCAGGATAAGCCAGATGGAGTTCACCATGGGCTACACAACTAGCAGCTAGCAGAAGGTGGCTTGATCTACTGTCCGCAACTGCCCATGAGAACCGCTGTAGGGCTAGCTGAGGGACGCGACACGCACGCCTAAGCAACATGCATGATCCAGCGTCACAGAATCAGATACACAATTTCACAACAGCTGGCTTTAATGATGTGATGTGCCGGGTGGCCCTGCATGCCTACATCCTATGCGGCAACTCGGTTGTAAAATCAAACGCTGAACTTCAACATCTAGCATTAGCTCTTCTCATCCCGAGGCACGCAAGAAGTTTCGATCATGCGGTTCCATCCAGTCCGAGCCAACGCGATTCCTGGACTGGGCAGAAGAAAATGCTAAGTTGTCAGAGTTGCAGGTCACGGATCAACCGAGCCTGCTCTTCATGTGTGCCTCAGACCTCGTAAGACAGCATACTTTTGAGTGGTTTCAAAGCGCCCTTTGATACAGTAGTCAGCAATCGCAACGTTGCATTCAGAGCCACATTGGGATCGTGATGCTGCGGGTGCTCAAACTGATAAGAATCTTGTTACCCACTTCCATGAATGAATCAGTA